TTTTTCAAAACGCGCGACAAGGGTGGTGAATCCTTGCTAGGACCGCTACCGGTAGCCGCTCCTCCTCCGTCTCCTCGTTTGGTATGCTCAGAGACCTCCTCCTACACCACGGCCTCAGTGCCTCGCCGTGGTACAGCCCAGTTAACAAAAAAGTATTCCCTCCAATCTCAGTGTTTCCGATAGTTTATTCTTTTCTTTACTTCAGCTCACCTTGCCGCTTACTGTACTAACGCCTTTGATTGTGGTATGTAATTTAACACCACACGTAGCCAGCTGGTTACCTAAAGAATGATCCATATGATTCACATTATAAATACTTTATAAATAGCTTTCGGATGTCCACTTCCCCCCCCCCCTGCCCTCCCCCTCTCCCACCAGGGGACTTCTCTCAGTGGAGGCATAGTACTTACATGTGAGATTACGATTTCATCTTTCTGAATTTCGAAAAATCTGGATAAGTCAGCTACCCAAGAACGCCCTGTCTGGTCTCTCCCTCGTCCACCTGCTGGATTACCTCTGTTTCCGAAAACCAGAGCGCGTCGAGTGCAGACCACACACCACAAGTGACGACGGCCTCCACAAAATGTAAATGTTTTCTGCCAATGAAATGATTAGCCTGTTGCAGTTGTATTCTATCAGTTGTCACTAATTACAACTATCAACTATCAGCTATCACTATGAACCACTAGTAACCAGATTTACTTGGAGGCCGTCGTCACTTGTGGTGTGTGGTCTGCACTCGACGCGCATCTGGTTTTTGGAAGCAGAGTATACACGTTTCTACCTTTTCCGTTCCCATTCAAGCCGAAAACAAGTAGTCAATTAAAGGAAGAAATGATTCAAAGCTGTTCTTGGTAGCCATTTATTACGTACTTTCAGGAAATTCTCCCGAAGGCATTGCTCGACTATACATTATCGCCAAGCAAAAAGCTGAAGAGAGTAAAGCGACGACAGCACCACCAGCGCCGGCTGCCGCTGCCGCTGATCCGTCGGCGGACCCAGCCACGAAGCTGTCGGCTGGCGATGAACTTCCGCCGGTCATTGACGGACCTACGAAACCGCCTTTCAACGACACCACTCCTTTTAATGGTATTGATGTCAGTGAAGTAATGGAACTACGTATCGTGAAACCGCTCTGTGACTACTGAATTGTTCTTGTTTACTGATCTAACTTCTTTTTCATCCTTTTATCCTCTTTTTTTGCTCTCTGTGATTCTTTGCTCGTGTACATTCAACGCATACTTGTAGTGCTAAGCACATTTTGACGTGACGGATCATCAAAATGAATGTGTTTCCGTTGAGTCAATGAACAACACGCTCACCTCTTAATCATTCCCTAACTGCATTACCACCGAAATAGGCGAAAATCTCAATGTGTAAAACAAAAACTGTTGCGTGCGGTCGCGTCGCGTTTTCAAATCAGCTGAAGTCTTTCGATCATCGTGCTATATCTTGAGCTTCTTTGAAAGTTTTTGATTCAGCAACTGGAATGCTAACAGAAGCGACCTTGTCCCAGAAGCATCCCATAGACCAAAGAGCGGACTCGAGAAAGAAGCCTGAAGTCCATTTTCAGTGGAAACTTAGATAGATTAGGGTTTTCCAAAATAGCTAGATAGTCAATGAATCGAATACAGAATCAGTGGATGTGGGTTGATCTCGAATATCCGGCCAGGGTCAACAGTTGCGTTTAGCCGATTTTGAATTGTTTACGACCCACCCCTTGAAATCCATTTCGGAGCCTTCGCAGTTGCTGTTCACAAACGGTTGTTTACAAAGGCACAGACAACAATTGCGATAAGAGCGACACAGACTGGACACTTCAGTTAGAGGTCGTATTCGGTCTCCGGGAGAGAGGGTCGCCATTGGCGAGGAACCCAACATAGTATCATTCCCCCCACCATAGATCCCTTTTGTAACGAACGTTAAAGCACAGGGATTTAGCACAGAATGAATGAAGAAAATAGGTTTATAGGCTAAGCGCAGAAGACCAATATATGGCCACGAACACCGGGGGGGGGAGGGGGGGGGCGTGGACACGCTGGCTTCACCCTGCAAATATTAATAACCGACAACTACTTCATCCAACCACGGAGGTCCCGATGCAGGGAGAGAGGCGAGAAAGTGGAAAATCGCCATGGCTTTATTGGCTCCCACTCACTGCCGCAAACTTTGTCGCGCATAGAAGCACAGCGCGTACTCCTGTGACGCACCCATTCCTTTCCACGACGTTTTGGTGGAAAATCTAACAAGGGAAGTTTTGGACGCTGATCTTGAATCTGCTCTCCAAATCTGCGGAACGATTCTCCGAACGTAGTTATGAAGCGAGATAGTGCAGTGGCAGCGGCCCGGGCCAACGGGAAAGACGTCGTGGGATCGAATTTTCGGCGAGTTTTGACTTTTGCTTTTCCTGAGGACATTGTTAAGGAAATCCTCATCTATGCTAAGTCATCAGCACTCGCCTTTATTACTAGTGCGAGGAGATAGCGAGGAGTTTCGATCAAGTGTGCGTGCCATGTGCAAATGACCAACGGTGACTGCCCACATTTGCAAAGTTAGGTACAAATTTCAGATTTGGACCAAAAGTTGTGGAAAGGGGCATTTTGACGCGCTGAATACGAATATCACCTCTGTTTGGCACGAATGCGCCTGACGCGTGCGCTACGAGTACAAGGGGCGATCTTTTGCGAATGGCGCGCACAGTGTTAGATGCTCCTCGCTAGCTATTCCCACTTGTAATATAGGCAATCGCTAATAATTTATATGGATAAAAGCATCTTTAGCAATGTCTCAAGGAAAGCAAATGTGAGATATCGCCAAGAATTCGATCCCACGACCTCTTTTCCGTCGGCCTGGGCCGCTGCCACTGCACTATCTCGCTTCATAACTACGTTCAGGGAATCGTTCCGCAGATTTGGAGAGCAGATTCGAGATCAGCGTCCAAAAACACATCTAGTGGTGTATGTCTCGTTACAAATGGCCACTTCGACCTGGGATCCTTCCCTTGTAAGAAATCGTCCAAAGCTTAGTGCCTTTTATTGCTCCACACATGACTGAATGAGTCATATTTGAGAAACACCGACGACCCACACCTCGCACATGATGCTTCCAGGTGATCAAATCTGACTGAATTCAAGAGTCTTAACGAACTTATTGTCATCTCTACGCACCTGAGGCAAAATTTACCCATCTTCTTCTTTCTCCCTCCCGTTAGTCTCACGCCAGTCGCAGGTCCGCCTATTTTGTCACCGCGCCATGTTGTTTCATAGTCCAGGAATCTTTCTGCTGTCCCGACTTCAGTGAGGTTCTTTCTCGATGACGTTCTCACCTCTTCTTTGATCTCAAATCGCCGGCCTGCATCCTGTGTCTTCGAACCCGTTGTCGTTCTTATAACATGATCCTGTCGTCCTCCTTACACTGCCCATACCCCTCGCAGGCGTTGTTCCTCTCTCATCCCTACAGCTGAAGAGAATCTGCATGACCGTTCTGACATCCTCGTTCCTGACCCTGTCCAGTCGCGTCCAGCCGCAGGCCCATCTCAGCATCCTCATCTCGGCGGAGTGAAGCTGCCTTTCGTGATTCTTGTTCAGGGGCCAGCACTCGCTGCCGTATAGCATCGCAGGCCTTACCACTGTCCGGTACACCTTTCCTTTGAGCGTTCTGGAGCACCTTCGATCGCAGAGGATCCCAGTGGACTCCCTCCACTTCATCCAGGCCGCGTTGATTCGTGCCTTTCACTGCCTGATCCACACTTCCCGTCGGCTGCCAGATCGCTCCCAAGGTATCGGAAGTCCTCCACTCTTTCGATGTCTCACCATGGCCGTCCACGATCGGCTCTGCACCCTCTTCGGAGCTCAGGAACTTGGTCTTCTTGACATTCAGCCGGAGCCCACCTTCTGCCAGGACTTTCTGCCATTTCTGCACCTTGGCCTGAAGTTCCTCTCTGCTATCCGCTATCAGGGCGATGTCGTCAGCGTAGAGGATGGTCTTCAGTGGTCCTTCCATGAGCCCCTTCACCAGGACATCTAGTGTTAGGAGGAAGAGGAACGGGCTCAGAGCTGACCCTTGGTGCACCCCAACCGTGATGTCCACCTCCTTCGTTAGGCCGTGTGGGGTGCGTATAGCTGCCTTTGGCTCCTTCGTACATGTCCTTCACCAGAGAGATCAGGTGTTCTGGCACGTTTCGTTCCCTGAGCGCTCTCCATAGCACTGCTCGCGGTAGCCGGTCGAACGCCTTCTCCAGGTCGAGGAAGGCTAGGTAAGGTCGGCGCTTTTCTCGATACTTTTCCATCACTTGCCTGCGATGAAGATGGCATCCGTTGTAGATCTTTCAGGCATGAACCCGAACTGTTCCTGGGAGATCGGGACCAGCTCCCGCAGTTTCGAGTCGACCAGCGCTCGTACAACTTCATGGTATGCGCAGTCAACTTGATCCCGCGGTAGTTGGAGCAGTCCATCGCGTCACCCTTCTGCTTGAAGATGGGGACGATAGTGCTTGTTCTCCAGGCATCCGGCATCCTTCCTTCGGTGGTTACCGTGTTCAGGAATTGGGTAAGCCATCTGATCCCGTACTCTCCGAGCGCCTTCCATGCCTCGATTGGCACCTTATCTGGACCCACCGCCTTTCCAACCTTCATCTTCTTTATTTGGCTTCAGCTTCTGTACAAAGCATCCATCCTCTCTGTTATTTCGCCGCTTGGCGACGGCTAGCCTTAGCGAGCCTCTTGCAACTCTTGTAGGCAGCGAGGTCTTCGGGGCTCCGGGTCTTCTGCCAGCGCTTGTATGCTTCCTTCTTCTGCTTCACGACTCGCTGGACTTCCTCGTTCCAGAACCACGCTGCCTTGTCTCCTCTGATTCCACCTCGCGTCTCGCCCAGTACCTCCTTGGCGCATTTCGTAGGATAACCTTAGCTGCACTGTCCATGTCAGCTGAACTGGTCCACGAGGATCTGAGATACCCAGTTTTCCAGTACCCTGCCGTTTGAGGTTTCCTCTCTCCGCTGCGGTTGCAGCGCTTTCTCACACCCGAATTCTCCGTCTCAGTTCTTGAACCTATTGCTTTCTTTTGGAGGATAATGGTGATGTCTGTCAGGAGGAACCTGTGCTGGGGAGCCAGTTCTTCGCCGGTGAGTACTTTAATTATCCTTCAGTTTTGAGGGATGATCTTCTTACCAGCACATGGTCGATTTCCGTCTGTCTCCCTCCACTGCTGTAGGTTACCTTTTTGAGTCTCCCTTTTCGCGAAGAACGTGCTGCAGACTGCCAGATCGTGGGCCGTAGCCAGGTCCAGGACCCTCTCTCCCTCGGCGTTCCTCACTCCTATCCCTCTACCTCCGTGCACCCTTTCCGGCCTCTTCTGTCACTGCCGACGTGGCCATTCAGATCACCTGCTACGGTCAGGTAATCGCCTTCCGGAATCGTTCTTATGGCTTCGTCCAGGCTCAGGTAGAACTCGTCCTTCTCACTGTCGGGGCATCCTGTCTGCGGCGCGTACACGGAGAGTATTGTCCAGTACCCCTCTTCGTGTCTATCCTCACAGCCATGATCCGATCGCTGATCCTGTTCACTAGCGGAAGGCAATTATTCGTGCGCACTCCCGCATTGGCTATGCCAGCGGTTCCGCTTGGTGTCCACACCCATTGTTAGTAGAAGACGACAACTTGAGGCAAGGTCGGGCTCAGGCACGCTAGAGAAGTAATTCCCGTGCCTGGAGGTTGTATGTGGGTAGCTGCACACATTGCAGCAACTTCCACCTTGAAAAACCCGTTAAGGCCCCGGGGCGTTCGGTTTCAATCCAGGGCCGCCTGGTCAATCCAGGACCGCCCACCTCCGGAAGTGGTGCGTGGCTGGCATAACGTGTGAAATCAGCTAGGTTGATTGCCGTATCAACCGATAGAACGACTGACATCTCCAGAAAACTTGTTTGTACGTGCCTCTTTCCCCAAGCCAGCCTCCTTCACTGCTAGTGGGAAAGAGGGTTTTGTTAACGGCCTTGTCGACGGTTTTTCTCAGTTTTTTCTCCACTGTCGTTCCACTTCGCATCTCTATACTCAGTTTCAATCGCCATAATACCCCCTTATTGAGCCCGACTTTTGCCTTTAAATTTCCTGGCTTAGCAATGGCGCGTGTCATCGGATCAGCAACCCTCGGGA